TCTCTGGGGGCACGGTGCTCACTGCCGAGCGCGTTCCCCGCGCTGATGCCCACCGGGTGTCCGGATGGCTCCGCACAGGGCCTTCTGCTGCTCCCGCCGCCACAGCCCAAGCTTTGCCACCTCGTTTAGCAGCCCTCTGGCACCACTGACTTGGGTTCAGCTGCAGCTCCGCAAGGCCCCCGGCGCCAGGCAGCACAGGGCGGCTGCCCAGGCACTCACTGCCCTTGTCCCCTCTGTGGAGCTGAGCTGGTCACCCCTGCCTGCACAGCCCCTTCCTCAGTCGGCTCCTACTGCCCGGGACCACAGCCCCCAGCAGCCACGAGCACCGGGAATCCCAACTCCACCAGCACTCACCTCCCACATCAGATTGGTGTTGTCCTCTGCCAAACTCAGTCAATTACTGCCAGCTCGGTCACTCTGGCAACATGGGCAAAGCCAGCACGGCCCCAGCAAAGCCCACCCTATCACTGCCAGGACAGTACAGAGACTTCTTCTAACTAAGGCAGAAGCAACCAGTCTTCTGCAAGAGCACTCAGCTCTTAATACTGCCTGAGGACCAGTGCAGGTGCTTGGGTTGAAGGGAGTGCAATTTATTCCACCTGTGAAAGCTTTCTCTGGCGTGTTGCTGCTCCGTGCATATCATCCACAGACTGCAGGATAAGCAGCAGACACATGCCGTGCGGGACCACCAGCAGCAACCTGCTGACAGCTGCCAGGCTCTTTGCAGTTTAATCATTGAATGTTGAGAGGGACTGGGTGAGAGCCACATCTCGGGACCTTCTGGCAGGGGCAGACAACACAGATATCCCATGCAGATAATTAAGGGAAAGTCCAAGGGGCAGGGCTGGGGGGATAAAACTGGATTAGCAGTTCAAATTTACATCCTCAGCACTGGTTAACTGTCATGTAACTCATTCCTGACTAGGGGAACTCACACTGCCTGTCTGTCCTGCCTGGAGCAAACTTTAGCGATGAGACACACTGAGATCAGGGACCTCCGGAGCATCTCTGATACTTGCTGCAGGAGTATTCCTCTCGCCCTTCCTCAGGTGTCAACTGCTGACATTTTGGTGCTGTTTTTCCTCTAGTCTGTGGCTGAGACTCACATAAGCACCCACGTGCTGAAGAGGAGAGACCCTGTCCCCATGGGTGAAAGAAATGGAGCCTGGCACCTCCTGAGGTCCAGCTGTGAGCGCCAGGGAGGAAATGCAGAACAAGGAGTCCTGGCACCTTTGGAAACCAAGGCAGGGACCCTCTGGGCACCAAAGAGCAGCCCTAATCCTACTCCAGCATGTCCTGAGCTCCCTCCACTGATTTTGGGGGCGATGGTGCTGGCCAAGTCCTGGCTAGAGAGCAGACAGGCAGGTTCCTCAGGAGCTGCAAATGATTCACCACCTTTCTACCTCTGTCCACTGGTTTTTGCTAACCAAATCATTGTTTAGACGAGGAACATTTGTCCTCAGATCAATTATATCAAATCAACCTGCACAGTCCTATGCTACACAGTTCTTGCTTTTCTCTATTTGTTCCTGACCATGAAATTCCAAATAATCCATGAAGGTCCCATTTTGTACGTAGGAAAACAAGCTAAGAAGGGGTCAAGTGGCCATTTGAAAAGCTAGAGGCTGGCATCAGTTTGGGGATTAGATGCTACATGTGCTTGATATTCAGGCATGAGCCAATCACCTGGTTAAACCAGCTCTTTAAGGGCAAACTTGACTGATCAAGAAAGAGGAGGTGCAGGAGGAGTCGAGGCCCTACCAGTCACTGACAGCGTTTCGTGTTTGCACACCAGCTAGCTGTTACCTGTGTTCCGGCGCTTTCCAGACTCATCCTACCCCAGCCTTCAGGCATGTTAGCTGGGACCCCGGGATCCCTGTAGGGTGCTCTCAGCGTATTTCAGAAGTTGTGATCAGGCGGGGACATCCTTGGAGGGGGGGTGTGTGTGTGACATTGCAGTCCCTTGCTCATGGTTTGAGAGGTGCCATCCTGACAGGCATCCATCTCCCAGAGCTGCACAGCCTGGCGTCACACATGCAACCAAAGCTTTGCTTATGCAGGACAGGTAAGGTTGCCTGCGTTCTGCCTGTGTTATTTTTTTTGTTCAGAGAGGCTCTTCAAGTTTTAGGATTGCTAATCTGTATACGTAATTCCTTTTGCCAAGCTGTTATTCCTAAGGAACAACACAGAGCCAGCAGACTATTTAAAAAGCAGAATGGCACAAGGGACAAACAAAGCAAAACGTCAGAGCTAAGGTGTCCCAAGTGCCAAGCAGAACCAGGTTACTCCACATTTCTTTCCGATGCCACTATTTCTACATCTACAGTTTGCTCTGCTTGCAGTAGCATGATGTTATGAGCACGTGCTTCACTGTTGCCCTCAGACCCTTATCTGCAGAACTGCCATCTCACCAAGTCACTCTCCCAGTGTAAGTATGGAGAGTTGACTCTTCCCCTCAAGCTAGAACTTTGTACTTACCTAGTGAATTGCATCCTATTTATTTCAGTCCGTGTATGCCATTTCCCAAGATCTTACTGGAAATCTAAGCAGGATGACCTCCAACACATTTTCCTCTCTTCCTAGTCTGGTGCAGTCTGCAGAAGCAGGAAACTTGACCTATCTTCCCTCACATACACCAGCAGGGAAACTCTGAGTAGCCGTATTGTAGGCATGGATCCCAGCGCTGTTCCAGCAACCCACCGAAAGTGGGTGCTCTTAGCCCCACTTCCCAAAACCTCTCCATCATCTTCATCTAAGCAAAACTAGGAGGGTGAGAACAGCTGTGGTAACGACACGTAACTCTATACCAGAAAGCCATACAACTCTTCTACTTTGCCCTTACCTTCTTAAAGACTCAGGGATAAATTGGCCCAGCCTTATCAACTAGAGAAGGTTGAAGTAATTTCAGTGCCCACATGGGTTCTTTTTGAAGTTTATACCCGAGTTCTCTGCAGACATGGCCCCCTCAAACACAGCCTGGATGAAGCAGAACGTGTACGTTCCAGAACACACCAAATGTCTGCTGTGTGAACGCATGAATGTGTGCATACATGTGGTGGCTGATCATCTGCTGCAGCTCTCCAGTGCCATGAGTACCAGACTTTGTAAAAGGCCTTTGTAGGTTCACTTTTTGAATGAGACTTCTGTGTTGGCACTGTCATATGATTTAAGAGACAAACGGAGGACACTTTAAAAAGGGAATCAGAAATAGCTCCGAGTAGATACTGGGCTGCAGGGTCCCTTCAGTGCTACCTGCCCAGGGTTTCTTTTACACTGGTAACAGATGTCTCCTCCTATTAACACTCCAAACACAAACACCAGGTTAACATGGGACATTTTACACACCAAAACTAACACAAACCCACGGGTCTGCGGCCCTTTTCTTTAAGTGAGGAAGTAGATTTGGAAAGGGAATAGTGTGTTTCCAGCTCCATTCTTTAAAGGAGACAGGGTAGACAGGTTCTTTAAAGACCTGGAAAGGCAGCAAAACCAGGCAAGCAGGTAAGGGCTTCATTCCCAGCAAGCAGACTTCGAAACGTTCCTGGCCAGAAACGTAGCAGCTTGTAGCACCTCTCTCCTTCAGGACTCCGAATGTCCTCTTCTCAGCCAGCCACGCACACTGCTGCAGCCCATGACACGTCACAGTGGGGACGCACTCTGCGCAGCTGGGAATCCTGAAGGATCTTCAGTTGTGAATGGACTTGGACAAAGGACACAAGTAACACACCTGTTTTATAGACTAAAAGAAATGGTGCTCACAAGCTAGAGCTCCTCACCAGGATAAGCAAAGAGGGAAAGGAAGAAAAACAGAGCTGGCCTCTGGAGGAATATAAAGACAGCTCACTGCTCTAGTCTGGTCGCCCAAGAGGAAAGAAAGCATTCACTTCAGAGGAGACTGTGGTACGGATGCAGGCAATGTTGGGGGTAGCAGACAGGGAGAGGCACAGACCACCTGTGGGGTTTTCCGCTGAGTGCGCTGCTAAGCATAGAGTAGAGAAGGGTGGGATGAGGGTCCAGCATGTTCCCCCTCTGTCCCTCCTGCTTCTCGTACTGGCAGCGTGTATGCATTCTTAGGGCAGCCCCACCAGTCTCTCCCTGTGAGGGTATGCCTGTTTCCCCTGCCAAGAGCCTATCGGAAACCTCTCCAGAAGGACAAGCGTCCGGGATTCAGTCAGCAGCTCAGAAGGGAGGTGCCTCCCTGCTCTCTAGACCCCATGCTATTTTTAACTTTGGGAAACTGTTTTTGTTCTCCTAAGTGTTGGGCAGTCCCCAAATGCCCAGGCTACTACTGCCAGCAAAGGAGACAGTTTAGAAAGCAATGATGCCTGAGGTTACACAAAGAGGATACACAGCAGCATGGGCCACCATGCTCTGCCCAAGAGGAGCAGCAGCAACCTGACCTACAATGTGCCTTCGTCCTTTCCTGGTGCTGAAGTTTGCCCCTGTGCTGACTACGTGGCAATCCGTCCTCAGGGCTCATGCTCACCACCCTGCAGCATCACTGCTCTCCCACGCAGATGCAGATGCACCCTTAGGTGCAGCTGGCAGGTGGCTCTGTGTTAGCTGCGTCTAAACCTGGGTGACACCACGGAGCAGGACACAGCGTGGCATTGACCACGCCACCTCAGCTGGGTCAGGAGATCTGCACTAGGCAGTGGCATTTCCCCAGGTCCCTGCCTGGCGCTTCCATGGTGCTGGCAGCAGGGCATCCTTGAAAGGACATGCGGGGAAGGGGCAGGAGGGTGGGCATGGGAAGGGGGACACAGAAGGTCTGGAGGAGAAGGGCAGCGAAGATGTCCGGAGCAAACTGCACCCCGAGGAAGGGGGCTGTGGAACCACAGAGTGTGTCGCTGCCAAGCGGACGCAGGCTGGGGAGGGTGGGGAAGGGCACTCAGCATGCCGGCCCCTTGGCACCTGGCCTGCCATGTCTGATGGGGGTAGGAAGACACCAGAGAGCACCAGCGCTGGAGAGAGGGTGGCGACACAAAGGCCGCTGTGTTCCTCTGCTCCCCATCCCTTTCTTCTCCTCCCCTTCCAATTTATTTACCCGAGTTCAAAAGACAGCCTCACAGTCCCGAGGGGCTGGCTGAAGTGGCCAAGGGGTGGGCTCTGAGGTCATCTTTAATGAGGGCAAAAATCCAGTGTCAACAATGCTGCCCATTGTATGGCCCTGTTTAGACAATACCGGCTGGGTTCTTGCTGCTGGCAGCCCGAGGACTGGGAGCAAAGCCTGTTCAGGGCAACAGGAGGGGAGGAGGGTGTGCACGGAGTCTGACACCGAGTCAGGCAGTGAGGGATGGGGTAAAGTGCAGCGATAAGCATGCTGTCCCTGTTATCAGCCTAATTCTCAGTGCTGATAAGATTACTGCACCAATGTCAGGGAATTTAGCCAACCTGGTCACAGCCTGGAGGCATGGCCCGTCACCCCACTGACATCTGCTTTCCCTTCCAAACCTGGCAATGAGACAGCAGTGATTTCTGCTACCTTATCGCCTCCCTCTAACTCCACATTTCCCACTCAGCAGCAGCAGGGTGGCAAAGCGAGCACCAGCTTCTTCTCTCATCCCCGGCCCTTCTCCAGCCATTTGTGGCAAGGCAGCGAGGGGTTTGGCCACTGCTGCTTTTCTGGGAGGTCGCAACAGCAGCTGTTAACCATGTAGCCCAGGTAACCCATACTGAATTCAGTCATGCTTTATGGGTGAGGATGGTGCAGGGGATCTTCAGGGATCTGTGGGATCCACTGAATTTATGGAGCAGCAGATGATGTTTTAAGTTAGGGGAGAAAACATGACAGAAAGCAAGCAAGCGAGCAAGACGATGCCCGTTCTTGTAAACATAAATCTCACTTTTGGTAAATGATGACATAATATTGGACTCCTCAAGTCCCAGTTGCTGGAGCTAGGTGACTACACAAGAGTCTTAGTTTTCCATTTCAAAAAAGAAAGCCATTCACTACTTCTCCTGGCCAAGGAAGAGTGTGTGAAAATACAACACAGGGTCACCAGATTGCAAAAGCAAGCATGGGGCGGAAAGCAACATTAAATGAGGGTGGCAAGCTCACAAGCTGGCATCTGATCCCCCGGCATCTGAACTCCTGCGACTGACAATCCTGAAAGACCTGCAGCTGCCATCATCTTATCTTTCAAGCAGGCACTAACTCTGAACTCCTGTAGCCTGAGCCAGGTCTTGTGCCAACTCATTCCGTAGCCATGGGCCACCACCTCATCTCTCTGCAACACGTAACTGTGCCCAGAAGTCAACCATGCCAAAACCAGGGGGACCATTAACCTCTGAAACTGTTGGCAGCAGTGGTGAACCATGCTGGTGTTCATCTGCTCTGCACAGAGGGCTCAGTGCCCTCTTTATGAGAGGAAGGAGGAGGAAGAAAGGAGGATTGGTGAAATGACAGAAACCCACCCCTGCACTTCCCCTTGGATGAAATGCCCATGGCATGATTCTCCTATCCCTAGAAAAAGCTCTAAAGCTGGAATTGCTTCACACTTCTTCAGAAAAATAATGCAAGAGATGTAGAAAATAATCCTAGGAGACTTTCTGCAAACCTTTATTTCTGGCAGAGGGGAATGGGTAAGGGTCAGATTTCCCCCCAGTTTTCAGCTTATTCCCTCTTTATTTGAGTCTCCTTTTTTTCATCTTCCAGTTCTGAAATCGAAGAAAAAGTGGGAGAGGGGGGATGCTGTTAAAGAAGATAAACAAATGACGTGAAACAAACCTTGCAAAGGCCTTGCAGCAAGCGTGCATGTGTGTGTGTGTATGTGTGTGTGTGTGTGTGTGTATTTTTCAACATGTTTGGCAGGGGTAGCTGAGGAGATTCACTAGAATTTCCAAGATGTCGACACCAGATGAAATCTCCTTGCACAACGTACTGCTAAATGGAAAAACAATACTTTTTTTTTTTTTTTAATTTTGAGGGGACACTTCTCAGGAAGGTGGAAACAGTTCTTGCATTAGACCGTGCATTTCTAAAGAAACCCAGTGCTGAAGTTCATGACCTGTGCTGCCTGTGGCATGGCTCCACTCATCACTGCCCTGCGCCATGGCCTTGGCATTGCACCAGCTCCTTTATGAAAGACCATGACCTTAGGCAGCAGTCACCAGATGCAGAAGAATTGAATCAGTTTCCCGGGGACGATGGCTGAAGCTGAATCTTTGCTAAGCAGTGCTGGTGAGCTCCACCCGTGACGTACTTCTGCTGAAGGCTCAGCTGGGCAGCTGTCCCTGGAAGGAGGGAAAAGCCCTATCTAGAGAGATACAAACTAGAGCAGGAAAAGCCCAGTTTAAGCTGTACTTCTGCATCTGTGCTAGACATTTCTGGTTTCGCACCTGGTCTGCCCAGTGGTCTTCACTTTTCTCTCAAGCATGGAGCAGCAGAGCTGAGGCAGGGGCCTGCAGCAGGGACTGGGATGGGCAGGGCCCAGTGCTGGGGGCCAGGGGTGCGCAGGGTGATGGCCATCGCCCCAGCCAGCAGCTCTGCGCCGGATGGAGCCTGGCTGGCATGGCGTGGCCAAGCCTCCAGCCCACCAAGGGCCAAAAAGCCTTTTGACAGGCAAGGCTGGAGCTGCTGCAATCTAAACATTGGGAAAGCAAACTGCCCTGTGCACCTCGCCAAGATGTCAATGCCTGAACCCCATGGCCACATTCAGGAGCATTAACCTGTTTCAAAAGTCATCAAAATGCCAGCGAGAGGATCTGGCCATGCTGTGAAGGGCCTTGCTCAGAGCTGCTCGTAGCACGTAAGACTTGAAACCTGCCAGGTGAGCACAGCCCCGATGATGGTCAAGATCCATCTCTCCCTCTGTGCAAGAAAAAATGCGATGGTCACCTCCCAGGGTAACCTGGCAGGGGAATGTTCAGAAAACTTACTCCTGTTGTGTGGGAGCAGCCAGACGTGGTATTAATTTTACAGGATGACAAAGTCTGGCTGCCCTGTAAGTTCCCTCTTAGCCATGCTCCACGTCAAGGAAAGAAACAAGTGGGAAAGGAGAGAGCTCTGGTGGGTCTGAGTGTCTGCAAAACTGCAGACCTTGAATCCCCAAAAGACTCATCTTCACCCACCTGTAGCATTTCCAGTTCTCCCCCTCGTTCGCAGCATTGAGATTATTCTCCCCATGTGGCGAAAACTGCAGATTATTGTTTTAAATCAGCAAGTATCACCTTTTTTTTTTTAATTTATTTCCTTTCCATTTTTCATTTGGAAATAGCGAGAGTCTGGTTTTTTTAGGGTATTTTTTAGTATAGTTTATAGTTCTTCCAACACTCATGTAGAAAGTCGGTATAATCTTTAATTAAAACATCATTTCCCCCCAGCGTTCAGTAATCCTCAGCGTTGTTAACCAAGCGTTAACCTGGAGTATTAAAAGGGATGGTTAAGAGTCCCCCTCTGACTCACGTCAGCTTTCACCATCTAGGAACAACTTCTGATGTGGCTCTCTGGTTCAACGCTGCGTCTCAGCAAGCAGGCAAGACTCGAGTTCCCAACGTGGCACGAAGACGCAGGCTCCTCTCGGACCTCTCCATCACTGCAATGAAACGAAGAAGGAGAGGCGTGTTTCCCGCCTTTGCTGGAGACCACTGAATCCAGCGAAGAACGGGGCCGTGGCTTTTCCCTCC